TTTTTTATACCTTCTCAGAAAAACCTGACAAAAAAAAGGGGGGAATGAAAATTTAAACATTTGATAAGCCCTTTTGTTTTCTTTACAAATTCTTCATCTCCTAATAATGATGTATTAAAAACCTAGGACTTTTATCAGGGTGGGCTTCACCTTTAAGTGTCAAAGATATAACACTATGAACTATTTTAATGGCAGGTTTTATGCATGACTTTGCATGTGGAGAGAGAAAACATGAAATGATAAAAAATATTCTATATACAACTAAAAAAAACATACTGTTTTTCGTATCTTTATCTTTTATTAAGGTCATAAGATACGTTCTGCAGATATATGTTTTGCATATCTTCACACTTTATGTAATCATGCTGAGCAATAAGGAAGCATACAGAATATTCTATCTTGACTAAATCAGTCATACATTATGACGTCATATTAGGCGAGATGACGTCAATTTTACAACACAATTTTCGTAAACTTGTCATTTAAGAAATAAATAACAAGTTTATAAACTTCAATGGTAATTGAAGTGGGTCAGTCACGTGATCAAATCCTGTGAAGGCTGAAGGCCTTCTCAGAAGATTTGATCACGTACTGACCCACTTCAATTCCCATTGAAGTTTATAAACTTCTTATTTATTACTTATATATACATTTGAGATGTACAATTAGATATATTCAGATATAAATATTGGACTAACCGGTCGCCGTAGATTTCCAACATAAGTACGCAAGGTGTAAATCGACTTGAAAGGCGGTTCCCAGATAGCAAGACATAGTTGGGCCAACGTTGGCCCAATTTTTTTTCCAACGTTGGCCCACTGTTGGTAACCTTACGTTGGCCCACGGTAATTTTGCTCATCGGCCCAACGTTGGTCCAACATGTTGGCATATTGTTGGGCCAACGTAGGTATAATTGTATGACAACTAACAGCCAACCTTAATAACTGGTTGGTTAGGTTGGCCCAACGTTGGCCCTTTGTTGAAATGTCAGATGGCATATTGTTGGGCCAACGTAGTTATTAGTGTATGCCAACTAGCAGCCAGCCTTAACAACTGTTTGCTTAGGTTGGCCCAACGTTGGCCCTTTGTTGAAATGTCAGATGGCATATTGTTGGGCCAACGTAGTTTTTAGTGTTTGCCAACTAACAGCCAACCTTAACAACTGGTTGGTTAGGTTGGCCCAATGTTGACCCTTTTTTACTATGTCAGATGGCAAATTGTTGGGCCAGCGTAGTTATTACATAGAAACATTTGCAATTGGTTAAGTGATGCTTTACATGAACCTATTTTATGACTGTTTAAAAAAATTAATACACAATTCAATCTGCATTCATAATGCATACATGGACATGTTCAATGAAAACATTACTAAAGATTCACTATGAAAATATTTTATATACATCAATTCAATCGATATCATAATTTACATAAATTTTTAAATAGACAATAGAGGTAAATTATGAAAAATTATCAATTCAAAGTTCTGATAATCAGGGCTCACTTCCTTTAATTATTACTGTCCTTTTGTTGTATTATCGCTCTTTTTCCGTCCTTCGTCGCCTCCCGTTTTCTTCATCTTGATCTTTGCCATACGTACTCGTACTGTATACACTTCTTTGTGCATGGTCTTCGATTTAATTGTTATTTACCGCCACAACATTTGTTTTCCTTGCAGTCTCTGACTGAAAATACAAAATAGTTTGATATTAGAAACAGTACAATTACTGGTCCAACTTATGAATAAATATTACTTAAATTAAATCTTTTAATAAAGAGAATGATGTATTATACTATAAGTGCACCTTAGTTTCCTTGTTACAATCATGTCTGTAACAGACAGTTAAGAATTAGATAGAAACAACTTAAAAGATGTTATCTTAATAACCTTAACTTACAGTGCTTGTGTGCAAAACCATGAAAAGAATGAATTCCGAATCAATTGTAACAGTTAACCTGAATAAATAAGAATACATCTACTTACATCGCATCTAAATGCAGCTATAGCAAGTGTATAATCCACAAATTTAAATTTCACTTCTCCTTGCTTGCCCTGCATTTTCAGTCTATGGCCTCACCACCTGTTAGCAATTGAATCTGACGGCTCACTCCACAGTTTGGTGTAATTTGATTCCCGCTCTCCAATCTTTAGCGAACGCCTAACTTTTGTTTCAATTTAATTATAAAGCTGTGTCATTTTGATTTATGTATATGTAGGCTTCATTCACATCCTGTTCCTGAGAACTTATTCAGTCTTCTCTAAATTCTCATGAATACAACGCTCATGAAAAAATTCATTATTTCAAGGGTTTTATTTCAAATAAATAAGTATGCATATGCACAATTCAAAAAATATAATAAAACACTCTTTGGTGCTGTGATCACTTAAATTCAAAGTTAAAATATTGAAAATATCAGATCTAAACAAAATCAGTCACACAATAAAAAGCATGGACATAGAATGTCCTCTTATTTATTTAAGAATGTGCATCTAAATTAAAACTTTAAAAAAAATTTAATTAGAACCAACGTTGTCCCAACGTAAAGCTCAGCAGCTAAAAATGACACCATCATTTAGTTGGCAGTATAATAATTGGGCCAGCGTTGACCCAAAATAAATATCCCATCTTTAAAACACCTAAACAAAAGAACACTCGTGCTAACATCGGGCCAACGTCGGGCCAACATACTACTACCAACTTGAAAAGACACTTTCTTTAAGGGTGTATTACAAACATCGGGCCAACGTTGGGCCAACATACTACTACCAATTTGGTAAGACAATTTCTTTAAGTGTGTATTACAAACAGTGGGCCAACGCTGGGCTAACATACTACTACCAATTTGATAAGACACTTTTTAAGGATGTATTACAAACAGTGGGCCAACGTTGGACCAACATACTACTATCAACTTGGTACGACGCATTCTTTATGGATGTATTACAAACATCGGGCCAACGTTGGGCCAACATACTACTACCAACTTTAAAAGACACTTCTTTACGGGCATATTACAAACATTGGGCCAACGTTGGGCCAACATACTACTACCGACTTTAAAAGACTTTCTTTAAGGGTGTATTACAAACATTGGGCCAACGTTGGGCCAACATACTACTACCAACTTTAAAAAACACTTTCTTAAAGGGTGTATTACAAACAGTGGGCCAACGTTGGGCCAATATCAACATCCCTCCTTCCTTGGGAAGTAAAGTGAATGGAAGTTGCTAACGTTGGTCCAACGTTGGGCCAACATAGGCATTCTGTCATGGTCGAGAAGGTTGGCATTGTGACATTGGTCCAACGTTGGCCCAACTTTGTTCCCCCAACGCCAACCATACAACCTTTTGCCAATGTTGGCCCAACATGGTCTTGCTATCTGGGTTACGCTTCGAATTAGGCTAAGGAATCTATTTCGAGGAAATTATTTTGTGAAAGGCTATTTGTGATCAGTAATAGTGAACAGATTGTTGTCTGGGAATATTTTGTATCCGTGAAAATTGATAATCGATGCTGAAAAGACACAAGTCTGATAAAAAATTGGAGGAATTTCGGTCGCCGGAAGGGGATGGATGGATCTGATGGATTGAGACATTGGTCTGAGCCAGTTAATTTGCAATCAAGTATAAAATTTGGTCAAAAACATTCAATCTACGATTTCAGTAACTAAAGGGATATTTATCATGTAAACACGGAGACACTGGCGACAGCTTGCATTGAATTACGACAACGCAGAGGTGTTTGTAAACGATTTACACATTTGTCATGAGTAGAATTTAATGAAAATATAATAATTGATCATGAAAATTTAACTAAAAGTCTACTCAAAAAATAAAGATAAACGTTAGAGACTATGCTGCTGACAAAAGTGAAGAAAAAATGTAAACAAAGGCTAGTATCAGTCGGTAGGCTTATTCTCCATGTACACAGGTTGAATTGATAGCCAAAAAACTGTGTAAAATACTGGTATACATTGTAAATAAAATAATTTTTATCTTGCTTATTTTGTTCATTTTTATACATGAAAAGCAAGTATAGAGCAAGTCATTTTATAATGTATACCGGTAGATATCATTGCGCCTTGAGATTAGGTCACTTATTGACCTCTGACCTCTGACAAACTTCATACAGAATTGAAGATTTTTTTAAACCTTGATTTAATTTTTATGGAGAAAAAACAATTAATTTAATGTTGAAATTACTAGTTAACATACTTTTCCTGATTAAAGCAGCTTTCTTTGCTGAATTTTATCTCGTCTTTTTGCACTTATATCAGCATATTATTGACGTACCTTTTCACAGCTGAAATTGCTATTGACAATGAACCAACGGAAGAGAATTCTACTGTACACAAACTGTGTAAATCAACAAAAAAACTCTAACAATGATAAATAATGAGTAAATTTTCTTTTCGAAAATTGTTTATGCTATTGACTATTTACAACGTTATGCCTAAATCACAGAACGTAGGGAAAGTCAACAGGTATAGAAAAACGTCACCATTTTAAATTCAAATACCGCTGTTATGACGTAGAACGACATAGGTCCCCCTTAATAATAATTTACATTAATCACCGGTCTTGGTAAATTTTCAAACTTAATTGTCTTTAAAAAGTCTAACTTTTCCGAGAATTATCTGCTCTACCTTAACATACCGGCGCAATTCTAAACTTTAATTACCTTCTGATTTCAAAAATGGTTGTCTTTTGACATTGAAAAACTAAAATGTGATATTTGCAAATTATTTTTCTATAAAGGTTTTTTGTGAAATAGAATCATTCGGTATCTCAATCTTTTGCAAGTAAACATATTATAGCAATTCTTCAATGACAAAATCGTATCGTTTGTCCTTAAACGTGAAGATAAATGTTAAGTTTTAAAATATTACTTTTCTATGTGTTTTTGTATAATCTATAAAAATAGAAGGTACATTGATTGGATGATTCTGTATGAAGATTATATTTCCTTTTAAAGTTTTTTTTCACTTTAATTTCTTTTCAGGAAATAGTTTTCTGAGAGACCTAGATCCTCGACTCTATGGACTTGAAAAGATTTAGCACTCAGTTTAAGGACCGGTAGTGTTCTCATGAATTGTGTCTACAGTGTAAAGAGAAGCATGTCATTAATCTACATTTTCAAATACCATGATCTTGTGCTGTACAGTGAAAACTACGAAAGTCTAACAAAGCAAAAAAGCTGTGTAAGACATCCAGACAAAATATATGATAAACATGTCTTTCTTGTGAAGTCCTTTTCTGTGTTCAATGCACAGAATACAGAAATCTCAGAATGTTACCCTGAGATTAAGAGTGTAAGAAGTACAATTCTGTTTACTGTAAATGTATTACATTTGGCGTGTACGATATTTGGCGGAAATTCAATTTTCAACAAGTTAACATAGATATGATTTAGCGCTATCTGAATGTGCTAGTTATAAATGTATAATATTCAAGACATTTAGCGATCTACTTGAGTTAGAAGACTGCTTTCCGCCAAAATCGCTAATTAAGGGTCCTTTTCTCGTGACAGCAGTCATATGTTTATACATGTATTATGTTATAAAACAATCGTTTTTAGGGGATTTCTGTAGATTCTTAAGATTTGGTGAGTAGGTATTATCGCCAATTTCTCTTTAACGACAAATCGCGAGAAAAATTATAATTATTCAGTAAACGATGGATCGAGAGATTTTACATTATTTCAGCACCATAAAATAAGAAAATAAATAAACTTATTGCGTGAGTGGTTCTTCCCGCGAATTTATGCGATAATCAATTCCTCGAGTATATTTAGGAATCTATAGTAATTCGTTTAAAAACTTCACTGGAAAATAAAGTTTGTCGTTCATGACACCACAACCTGTGATTTTAAAGATTTTTAAACTTTTTATTCATAAACTATACATAAATGGAGAATAATATATAAATATAGCAATAAGAGGACGACAATCTGATTTTGAGAGAGGTAATTGATAAAATATTTAGAGTCAATTATTTATGTGCACTGGAAATTAATTCTAATAGTGTGGCAAATTTGGAGTGATTATTAATTTCATGTGCATTGGAAATACATCTGGAAACTGTTTTACCTCTTTTGTTCATTGTTTTATGATTTATGCACCTCAGTTGGATATTTAGATATCCAACCGATGGGCAGTTGGATATTTGAATTTTCAACTGATGGCCAGTTGGATTTTAAAAATATCCAACTAGTGCTAAATTAAATCGGTAGAATATACGTAGACTAATAAATATTGGTGTCGTCATAGAAGTTTTTTTAATATGTAATAACAAATCTTCAATCTTAAATCAAAATTGTGTCGGTTTTTCAGCTTTCAAAAGTATTCAAAACACTATCCAAACCTCTCTAATTTATTTTGGATTTAAAAATATTCTTCGTCTGATTTCATGACTGCTCAGTGCAATGAAAAGGATTGAAATGATATCAGCACCATGTAGTTTCATGCTCACTAAGCCATGAATGAAAGGGGTGTTTGATTAGGATATTGTTTTGTGTCACAGTTGGATATTTAAATGGGCTACATCCTATTGTATAACAGCCAGATGGTTATTTGAATGGGTAAATATTTCTTTGGGGCCCAAAGTACGGAATTTTTTTAAGTAATATAAATAACTCGATAGTGTTGAAACATTTAAAGAAAACATCCCCTCCTCGGGCCTAAATTGTTCAACACCATCTCGTTATTTATCTTTTACAGAGCCACTTTGGGCCTTATTTGTCCCTGAGATTTTCTGAAAAATCGAAACCGCTGTGTTTGGGTTGCAAAAGCAGTATTTATCACTAACCCTTACCCTAACCCTATCACAGTGTTGTTGACCATGTGCCTATTAATCATCACGTATTTTTTTCTCAGGTCAATGCATTATGACGTCATGAACTGCGTCATTTTCCTTATAGCCTGTTAATTTCTTTGAAAATGGTCTGTACTTGAAGGATATTTTTTCAATTTTTCATAAAGAGCACAACCTCTGATCCAAAATATACAATTACATAATAAAAGATCTGTTTCAGAAGATCAAAAAACAAGTTTTATTATTTGGATCTTAGGCTGTGCTCACATTTAAATTCTTTGCTCAAAATAGTCAAATACGCATACTTTCTGCATATCTCAAGAACATTTCACTTTCCCAAAGTCTATTTTCAATATCTGGATTCTAAAAAGAAATTTTATTATAGGAATTGAAAGCGTCAAGTGTCAACTTTATTTTGACATATGAAATGGGAAAGAGGGTGATAGTTAAATAACTGATATAAGTACAGGGCCATTTTATGCATAAAATGAACCTAGATCTTTAAGTAAACTAGTACTGAACATGGTGAATTTATATCTTTATTCTTCAAATGTTTCCTCTTATACATGTTTTACATTGTTAAATAATGTTTCTTGTTGAAACAAAGTCTGTTTTTAGTTTAAACTATATAACAATAACATTTTAATTTAAGGATAAATATTAGACTCAAATGGATAAGCATATGTGATCATTTGAAAAAAAGGAAACTGCAAGGTCTTTTATACATTCGTCACTTTATTTTTTTAAGCCATTTAATCTTTTTCAAACATGTTGTGATTTGCTCTGACATGTTCTGAATTCTACAGTTTTAGATTTCGATTGTTCGCTATAAATTTTCGGTAAACAGACACACTGCTCGTTCTTCCCTGGGGTGTACCTGTCGCTCCTGAACTATCGACTCAGAATCGTCAAATTTTGACTTTCAAACAACGCCTCCATCTTGCATGTAATGCTTCCATGTTGTAAGAATGTCCAAAGAGTCGCAAAATCTACCTCATCAGAGGCAAAGGTCACGTGACTTTCGGAACACTTGAGAGTTGATAATGCCTTGCACTTTTTCCTAAATTCCTGGGGCGTCCTTGTATGTATTGTCGTGTTATGGAATCGCTGATAAATATCGTTGATTAAGGACGGGCCTTTGAGGGCATTCCAGCGAGGCTTAGAGTTCTTACTTAAGAGGACGCCGTAGTGTAGACTTCTTGTGATGGCTGTTTCTGTGGTGTGACAGAGAGGATCTAAAGATATATGAGAATCATGTACTGGATATAAAGTTTATTATTATCTGAAAAAAAGAGCAATTCGGAAAATTAATCTTTTAATACTGCCTTCCACAGTTAGAAATCAAAGAAAAGATTAATACAAATTTAAATTAAACAATATCTCCTGTTCTTTGAAATGATAGTGACAATAATCAATTTGTATTACAAAGAGCCCATTAATGATATGAGGATGCATATAACAAATGTATGAGGAAGTTACTAGTCTCGTCTAATCTTATATTAAAAAACCGCAGACTTGCTTAAGTCTCTATGTTATAGTGCTCTCTCTTATTTTTGATAATGTCAAACAAAGAGACTCTCTTTGTTTGATAACATTAAACTATGACAGAGACCGGTGGACAGCATACAGATACAAAAACAAAGAATTTAAAAAATATATTTATGAAAAAAATAAAACATAGAGACTTGAGCAAGTCTATAAAAACGTCTTGATGGTGTTTATTAAGTACGTATTATGCCTCTATTGCTGTGATAAATAAGGTTGGACGTAAACATACCTTTATTGATGTGTTCTGTTGTTTTAACTGTGGTAATAATTACGTCATACTTGACGTAGTTCCGACTGCGCCAATTCGTTGAAAGGTAGGGTTGATGTGTCAGACGTGATCGAATTTTGTTAATTCTGTCCTTATTTGGAATGCGGGTCCAATTAATTTGATTGGACAAAATTCTAAAAGGAAGGGAGAATGAACACCAATTACATGTTACCACAGCAATGAGATATTTAAACATTATTTAAACAAATCGTATTGTTATATATGACGTAATAACATATGTACCAACCAAGTACAGTAAGTTCACTTCTCTCCATCTTACTTCCAGACTTCAATATGCATTGATAGGTGGCGCTGTCATTGATTGTGACATCATGGATAACCAATGAGACTGCGTTTGGAAGATCCAGAAAGATGTGAAATTTCGGGTTGTTGGTTCCTATTTTCTGTCCGTTTTCTCCCACGTGACCCTATCAAACCTTCTGTCAATATCACAAATAGTTAAGGCCATACTGTCGAATTCTTACAACTGAAAGTAACACGTAAAACATTTACAAACGCTATATATAGAAACATTTTCATCAACTTGCCAGTTAATATACCGTTCAAGGTACGTCAGTTGGTTTAGCGCTGGTTCCGGAATTGGGAGGTCGTGAGTTCGAATCTAGGTTGCGACTGACCTAAAACAAATAGTTAGCAACTGTTCCTTCGCCTTGCGCTCTGCACTTTGAAGTGAAAATTGGCTGGTTGTTTGGGTGATATTTTAAGAATAGATGCCCCGTGTTACGACAGCCCTGTTCACGATAATCATAATTTCCATAATTGTCCTGAGTGCTGGTAAAGGTCAAAATGTTGAAGCCCTTCAGCAGTATATGAGGACCTCTCTTTATGAGTGAAAAGTTACCGAATGGGACGTAAAACAACATAAAATCAATCAATTACTTGATTATGTTTATCACAACGTTGCCTAAATATAAACAAAATCTGACAAACTATGATATTGAGTTTCCCTGTTGTGTATATTAACGAATAACTGGCAAAGAAGTCCGCAAAAGAGCGAAGACATCTGATTTTCATCTGAAATTAGTTTTATGAATATTGAAGTAGGATTTCAAGTCAACTTTTATAAACTAAAGATAATAGGTTTTCGTTTCTAACATTCCATATTAGGGGTCTTTTTTGCAGATTTTAAACACGATGTAGAACATCTGCAAACAACTTGTGATATGACCTTTGATATTCTTAACATATTCTTATGCATGATAAACTTGAGTTTACTGGGTTAGGGTTAGGGTTAGAGACAATAGAGGTAACTTTTATTATATACCGATTCCGCGAATTCAAGAAACCGCGATCGTGTCAAAAACGAGAAAAACGTGAAAATTACAACCCGTGAAATAAATCCCCCATACAGTATTCTACTTATGTATCAATTTTCTATATCCCGTTGCATTGATCTTTCTTCTTTAAATCGATGTTCTTTTGTAAGTTAAATGGTAGTGACCTACTTAAAAAAGTTATTGTTATTATGAAACACAACCTCATGTGGTTCAAACGTAAATAAGCAGCAAAGCATGGTGATTTAAGTACGAATTTTTTAAATTTTACTACTGGTTCGGGAAGATTAAATTTGCAATGCATTCTGGAAAAATAATTGAAATTAATTTCTATTCTTTTTAAAGGAATTCATAAAGATAAATAGGACCTATAAGAATTTCTTGGTGATCTATAGTATTTACTACGTCTATCGGCTTGTCTGTCTGTAAGTCTGTCAGTCCACATATTTTCCGTATTCTGAATAGATATTTTAATGATTATCCCATCAGATTCGAGATGGTGTTTTTATTGGCAGTTATTTAGGCATATTTTATGCCAAATTGAATACGCTTTATTATTCGGGTAAGACATAGGTATATGTAAAATGCCATTCTTATATAAGAGAACTTTTTTTCTACTGTATGCAGTGAATCCCC